TTCTTCCAAGAAAAGGTTATAGTACACCAGAAATCTTATCCCTACACACCACAACAAAATGGGGTGGTAGAGAGGAAACACAAGTATCTTCTTGAGACAGTAAGGGCACTGTTATTTCAATCAAAAATTCCTATGAGGTATTGGGGAGAGTGTGTATTAACTGCCACTTATTTGATTAATAGATTACCTACTAAACTATTTCAAGGGAAGTCTCCATATGAGTTGTTATATCAGAAGAAGCCTTTTTATTCACATCTTAGAAACTTTGGATGTCTTTGTTTTTCAACTACTTTAAAAACTCATAAAGATAAGTTTGAGCCTAGAAATGTACCTCACATTTTTATTGGATATCCCTTTAACACAAAAGGGTACAAGGTCTTAAACTTGGTTACCAAGAGAATTCATGTGTCTAGAGATGTTTCTTTCTATGAAAATATTCTTCCTTTTTTCATTACTCCTGCTGGTTCTAGTTTTGATTCTATACTGCAGTGTCTTGTTCATCACTCTGATAAGTTGCCTTGCATGTCTAGTAAAACAAATACTTTTATTGATGATGATATGTTTAGTCAACACACACTGGATGAAGTCACTTGTGATCAAGTTTCCATACCGGAAAATATACCTATGACTGAATCAACAACACCTTCTACTGAACTAAACATACCTGTCACAGCACCTACTGAACCAAATGCATCTGTTCTCACACCTAGAAGAACAACTAGATCTTGTCATCCTCCAAGCTACTTAAAAGACTACAACTACTCATTACCTAAGCTACATTCTTCTTCACATACAAATAATATTTCTGATTCTCAACATTCATTCACATCTTTCAAAAATCATCCTGATCACATATGTTTCTCTACATTGTGTTCTGAAATTCAGCAGTTGATCCATAGTGTTTCACATGACATTGAGCCTACATCTTATGAAGAGGCAAGCTTGAATCCACCCTGGCAAGCAGCAATGAAACAAGAGTTTGATGCACTGCACACTAACAATACTTGGGAGCTAGTTAAGGTGCCAAAAGAAAAGAATATTATTGGATGTAAATGGGTGTATGAGATTAAACATAAGGCAGATGGGAGCATAGAAAGGTTCAAAGCTAGACTAGTGGTAAAAGGATACACTCAACAAGCAGGGATAGACTACAATGAAACCTTCTCACCTGTGGTAAAGATGACTACAGTCAGAACACTAATCTCATTAGCAGTTAAGAAGAGCTGGGATTTGTACCAATTAGATGTAAATAATGCTTTCCTACATGGTGACTTGAATGAAGAAGTGTACATGGCTTTACCTTCAGGACTGGTAGTTGACAGTAGTGATATGGTCTAAAACAAGCCAGTAGACAGTGGTATGAGAAACTAGCTGATAGTCTTTGCTCAAAGGGTTATGTTCATTCAGACAGTGATTACTCACTATTTTACAAGAAAAATGGTCACTCCTTAGTATTTGTAGCTGTATATGTTGATGACATTATCATGACTGGTACTGATAAGAAGGAGATTGAATCTTTGAAACTCTTCTTGCATGAGAAATTCAGAATAAAAGACTTAGGAAGGTTGCATTATTTTCTTGGATTAGAGATACTGTACAGGCAGGATGGTGTCCTTATTTCACAGAGGAAGTTTACCCTTGATCTCTTGAAGGAATTTGAGTCTATAAACTACAAATCTACCACTTCACCATTGGATCCTACTGAGAAGCTAAGGCTCACAGAAGGGAAGTTACTACAGGATCCTACTTACTACAGAAAATTAGTAGGCAAACTGAATTTTCTTGTTAATACAAGAATGGATATAGCATATAGTGTTCAGCATCTCAGTCAATTCATGCAATCTCCTAGAGAACCTCATTTAAAGGCAGCTTACCATGTACTCAGATACCTACAACATGATCCTACACTGGGAGTTTTTGTTAGTAATAGACCTGATATCACCATTAGTGCCTACTGTGATTCAGACTGGGCTTCTTGCCTTGATTCAAGGAAGTCAGTAAGTGGTTATTTGGTTCTCATGGGAGATAGCCCTATCAGTTGGAAGTCAAAGAAGCAACCTACAGTATCATTATCCTCAGCAGAAGCAGAATATAGAGCTATAAGACAGGTAGTAGGAGAAGTGGTGTGGCTAGAAAGATTGCTTGGTGAACTCTCAATGACAACACCTTTGCCTATACAAGTATTTTGTGACAGCCAAGCAGCAGTACACATTGCTAAGAATCCAGTATTTCATGAACGAACTAAACACATTGAAGTTGATTGCCATTTTGTCAGGACAAAGCTCCAAGAAGGACTGATTACACTCCAACATGTCTCAACAGACTCTCAGCTGGCTGATGTTTTCACTAAGGCATTGACTGGTGTTAAACATTCTAATCTGTTGAACAAGTTGTCTGTGAATAGCTCACTTCCAACTTGAGAGGGGGTGATAAAACTAGCTTAATTAGTGTGAGTTAGTTATCAATCAATTTGTTAGTTAGTTAGTTAGTCATTATTCAACTTTCAAGTAGTTAGTTGTAGTTGGTTATAGTTAGTTATTGCTCACATGTTTTGTATTTTTTGATTTGTTAAACTACTCATTGATGTGTGTATATATACACATCCAAATGTACTGCTCAATCTACAATTTTCATTATAGAAAAGTTTTCTTCTCCCTTCTTCATACTGCCAGAAGCTCAACCTCCATCAATGGAGGTATGAGACTACTTTCCAGCTTAGATTGCTGGTTCAAATCAGCTTGCATTATTGATTTTATCAATATTATCCAAGGATACACCCTATAAAGATGTTGCTCTCCACGGAAAGGTAAAAAGCTTACCGATTTTGATAGAGAAACCACATAATCTTCAATATTGGTCTATCCTTAGCAGAATATGTCTACGAGCAAGTAAATCAACTAAACAATTTCCTTTGATGCCCAAGTGTTTAAGTAAAACTGTTCGCAAATCCTTCACTTCTAGTGTATCGCATGAGAACTTAATAATTATAACTTGATGTAATCCTTCTTCCTGTGGGAAAGTATGTCGTTCTCCCTTTGTGGATTGAATCGTAGGCTTTCCATGCACATATTGAATGTATTTCAACTGGATTTTTGTCAAATTTTTAACATCTTCATTTATGGTTAATCGAGTAGAGCATAGGATGTTTGTTGATTAGGATTAGGATTACGGTTTGTCTCTCCCACAACCAAAGGTCGGCGGAGAGAGGAATGCAGACATGGTCCATCGCAATTGTTCAGGGTTTAGGGCATCCACTGTTTTCACTTTCTTTCTCTCGGAAAACTAAATGATTAATTCATGTTCATTGATCAATTTAATTAATCAAAATATATTACTTTATTGAAAATTTACTAAATAAGAGTGCAAAGGTAAACTTACATAATTTCTTAAGGGACGAGAATATAAATTGAAACGGAGGGATTAATTCTTCCCAAATGGCAAAAACATATCCACATATAGATTTTGTTTTGGTTGAGTCAATGATCCAATTTGCTATCACTGTATCTTTCAATAATTATTGAATGCTTATTGTAATGCAAAATAAAATTTGAGTATGTTTAAAATACCGCAAAACTCCTTTTATAGTGTCATCGAATGATAGCAGATTTTCACAATCTTTAATTTTATTGTGTGTATTATGTAATTGAATAAAGAGATTAAAAAGATATAATTGTCCCTGAACCTCGTTAGTACCCCTACCGATTCAATAGAAGTGCTTGTACCAATATCAATGTGATTGACTTTATCTTTTAGATTGTAAATATGACTAGTGTCTGCGCGGCCCAGTATTAACTTATAAATTATTTGTTTAAAATAATATTAATTAAATAGTGTATTTTTTTCGATAAAAACAACTTTAGATTTATGTTAATAGATTATCTAATTAAGTGTGAAATGAATATGTGATAAATAATTTTAAATGGTGTTGATTAAACAATTTTAAATTATTGATCCAAAAAAAAGTTATATATTTGCGTGGTAATTTCATTCTTCTTTCTCAAAAATTTGACGTGATGGATCCATATTAAGATCTCCATTACTCAAAACTTATACTTCATTGTTTGCCACTTTCCTTTACCTAGAATTATTTCTTATTTATGACCCGAGTTACTTATAATCCAAGTAATGTCATAAATAGTATTTAATAAGGATTAGATCTTATTCGTATATTGGTTACTTGATGAACAAACCTAATTAAATCATATTTCTATAAGTTGGTCCTCTCTCCACCCATTAGGGTTACCACATATTCGTTATAATAATTTCATCACTCGGTTGTGGTAACATAAAGTCAGGATAAGGAGGTAGAAACTAATTTACAACTAACGCTTTCACTTTTAACTCTGATGATGTCTTCCTCGTCAGGTATGTGCCCCACTACAAAAAAATCAGCCTCTAAGGAAGGGAAATCTAGTGGCTGAAAGTTGAAATCTGCTCCTAAACGAGCAATTGAGACCAGAAAAATCTGGTTGCCACTCGTGCTAGAAAGTGTCGTCGCTACTGGTTACTAAGGACGAGTTCAAAATACTGGTCTTTTAATGTCTTTGAGACGAGAAAAACACTGGTCGTGGAACAATTTTAGAGACTGCATATCTGGTCTTAAATGGACCATTGATAAGTTGGATTTCAGATCGTTAATCCTCTTTTGCGTCCTTCCGCAACCTTGTCCCAATAACTCTTTAGGGACGAGTGTGATCTGGTCCTAGAATAGCGTTAGAGACCGTTAGCAATCTGTTCCTAGAATAGTTATACCGACAATAAGGAACTGGTCCTAAAGAAGCTTTAGGGACGACAACAAGCTGGTCCTAGAATAGTTGTAGGGACGAACAACAACCTGGTCCAAAAATAGCTTTAAGACGAACATCATTTCTAGTCGTAGATTCACCTTTACAGAAATTCACTAACTATGGTCTCTAACTAATAACTGTTGATCCAATAACCATTGATATCACAAGCATCTAACAAAATATCAAATTAATTATCAACTAAAATCTGGATACAAAAGATTTAAGTTTCAATATTTTCTTAATTAATAAACAAAAAACTAAGACAACATCCATTGTTTTGCATAACATTCATAGCAAAGAAAGAATGAGTTGGTGCATCTTATAAGCTATGATTCACAGAAGATGAGCAAAAGTTGGGCAAAAACTTAAAAGTTTACTCTTTTTCATGTGATTTTCAGAAACATCCATAAACCTGCAAGCATAAGAAAAAATTATATTAGAAAAAACTTCAAATTCATCAATCAATAGAAACCAACATCTATTTTAAAGAACCACCCCTAACTAATGTTTAGTAAAAATTGGAGATAAATGGATAGAAAAGTTAGCTTATGAGACTATTTAATTGGATGAACTATTTGAAAGTGAAACGTAGTAGTTCATTTTGTAACAAATTAAAGAACAATGGATGTGACAATAATATTTAGCCTATAGCCTTATCTGCACAGGTGTAGATAAATTAACAACAGTGAGTCGAGCGATTGTCCCTAGCTAATAGCACCACAGCGAGCCCCAAAAATTGCCTTGGACAAAAGATCAGTGTACTTCTTTGAGTTGACTTTCCTATCGATACCTCTAATAGTTGCTTCTATTATAAGTATAGAGAAAGGATTTTCTTTCAACATTTCTGCAGCCATTGCGGGTGCCATGAAGATTGAGGGGATGTCCAAGATTTAAGAACAAGAATTTTGACGGGCACTTACATGGCAGCACTGTTACGTTGCAGCAGTGCATAAAGAATATCTTAAGAGACGAGCAGGATGAACAATAATCAGGCAAAATATGGTAAAACAGAGAAGGTGGCAGCAGTGTTACAGGAACGCATAAAATTTAAAAACAATGTTTGTGCCGTTATGCAGAAAATGAAAAACTAAGCCTTTCACTATTAAAAAAAGTTATGCGGATAATCAAAAACAGATCACATCTCTACAACCACTAATTCTAAAGAAAACATATTTATAAGTCAGGTATATTGTCACTTACTTGGTTAACTGAATAGGCAGTGCTCATTCGGTTGAAACTGATGTTGTTGTCGGTGGGACATGTGACTGCTGAGCAACGAAGAATTCTTTCATATTCATTATATCTTTCATCTTATCTTCTATGGTAGACAAGCGATCATTCAAAGATTTGTTTTCCTCATTCAAGATTTTGTTTTCTTCATTCAAGAATTTGATATCCTCTCGAATTGAACGTAGCGCGGACAATAATTCAGCCTTTGAAGAAGTTCCACCTTTCAAGTCTTTTGCCTTTAATCCACCTCCTATTCCAAATACATGGCTAAGAGTTTGAGGTCCACAACATTTTTCAACAATCTCTATAATAGGTAGAGATGGATCTGCTTGAACCATTTCCTCGAGTTGAGCCTATAGTATATATCAAAGAATATTTTTAATCATAACACATCATTTTGAAGTAATTAATATATTAAGTTTACCAAACGCACATGTTTTTTTCAATTGCTTCAGGTTCAACAAGCTTGTTATCTTTCTTACGCGTCTCAAAGAAAATAGTTGCCACTTCTGGTGGATTTCCATCTTTTCCTCCCTTTACATCAAAGTCAAACATGTCAAATAAAACACACCTTGTAAAAGGTCTATTTCGGAAAAATTAATTTTATGATATTTCCTTTTGATAGATAATCTCTCTAATAGGCTTGCTACCAATATGATGAAGCATCTTCAATTTAGCTCGGTTTGTTTCATTCCTTCTACTCCTTGCCAGTATTTATTTAACAAAGAGTTGCATTCTAGGAGGATAAATGAATATAATAGACCATAGAAAAGCTAATACAATTGCGGATCAGATATACTCTCTAAATAGGGCTCCGCAATTGACAAAACGGTTATGTACCAAAAGAGAAAGCAAACTCCAGAATAGAGAAGTTAGCAAAGTAAACTACTAATTCAGTAGGCATACCTGAAAACTTTCATAAGCAAAGTGCTCTTTTCACTAACCATTCCCATCTTTTTTGTCTACTCCCCTTGGGACATTCTTAAGAGACTGTTGAAGTGGCTTGTCCTTCACATATTTTGCATGCAAGTGTCCTCTCCATTTATTCCATAACTCATTCATCCATCCCAAGATATGATCACGGTGATCATTCATATCAACATTCTCAAATTTATGCTACAACAATCGAAACATGATAAGTTGAGTTATCATCTTCAAACTTGATCTATGTTTCTGAACAACTTTGCTCTGAGATTATAAAAACACTCTAAGGTACTTGATTATAAACTATTTATCTATTATAAATGAATATCGATACGAGCTACTTTAGATAGAATTCTAAGATAAAAAACATTAGCTATATTGGACAAGAACACACGACATATCAGGTAGCAGTAAATAATATAAATCATGTGTATATTTATTACCTCAACAGCCGCCCACATATGATTCAACTTTTTTTGCTTAATATCATGCCACGATGATACTCTCAAGGGACAAATATTACGATCACGAACTATTTTACCCAAATGCCTCGAAAACAGATTGATATTTGCTCCAACCTTTCGATTATTGTAAAAGGTTACTTTCAGCTTTTGTCCAATTTCAAGTGAAGCAACTTCTTTGCACATGTTGCTTCCTCGAACTTTTTTTACCTTTGTAGAATTAGATGAACCTAAAGTTGCATAATATAATAATAACTATAGAAATCAAACTCAATTCAAAAACATAATAATATATGAATTTAACATATCATACCGTTTTCAGTTGTTTGAGAGTGCTTCATGACTTGATTAATAGAAGGAGACAATGAAACATTGGTCTGCATACCATCTTTCTTAAGAACAATATTTTTCATTTTTCTTATTTCTTGACTAGAGGAAGAGGTAGAACTCGATTTTATGCTTTTAGAAAGAGTTTGCATACGTTGATTAGAACAACCAACACTGTTGTTAAAAGATCCCACCTCAGATTCAGAAATTTCTTTTCTCTAGTCCCTTTCTTCTGCAATTTATTGTGCTAGTTGGTTTAAAATGTTTGATAGTAGTTGTATGGATCAACAGTGGAGAAGTCCAAACAAAAAAAAGTAGGAAAAGACATTTATCTTCAACACAATTAAATCAATAGGTTCAGTCATTTTTCATCGAAAATGATAGACATTAACTACAAGAAAGTCGGCCTCATAATCAAAAATATCTTACTTGTTTCAACTTCTTGAGTGTATTTCTCAATTTTAATAGCAGATGTAGGAAATGAAAAAATATTTTGGATGTTCTCTTTCTCAGGAACCATGGAGTTCTTATAAATCTGATACTTTTCAAGTCCTCGTCCTTTGTCCTTCTCCGTATAACCTGAAAAAAAAGACAGTCATATTCTTCATTATTTGAATCAATCTCATAGATTTATTCACATGGTCTAATTCCATTCGTAAGTAAGATAACATTTCATTGACTATAAAAAGTTGAAAACAAATAATTGAAGCAAATAAGTGGACAAAGTCAATGATATGTCTGTGACATAATATCACAGTTATTAGGTGAAAGAGGGGCGACAAGGGAGAATTCACCAGCTAAAAATCACTCACCAAGTAAAAATTAATCATAAAAATCAAAAGGTTCTGTCATTTTTGTCGGAAATGGTTGAAATTTCACACTTCCTCCTCCAAGTTAAAATACAGAATGCAGGAAAAGAATATCTCTTCAATAGAATTAAATATTTTGCTTATGGTCGGAAGTAATAGAATACAAAATATCTTACTTGTTTCAATTTCTTTGATGTACTTCTTAACTAGATCACTTGATTGAGGCAACAAACTCTTAGATGATGTATTCCCTTTCTCACCCAGAGATTTAAGTCCTCGTCCTCGTCCCTTTCTTATAGCCCCAGGCGCGACAAATGTATACTCTTTAAATTCGAACTGACCTCATTTTCAGTTTTCAATGGTTTCATCTTGAACCAGCAAGAATAGTCAAAAGTTAAAGTTTGGACATGGAAAAAAGTAAACATATACTGATAAAAAAAAAACGGTGTCATCATACTGTTTAACAATGAATATATTGATTCATAAATAGATATTTCACCTCATTAGTTCTTTTTCTTTTCTTTTGTGATGGACTTCCTAACTCTACAATATCATCCTCCATTTGTTCCACAATCTCATAGGAATTACGAGGTTGAGTCTTCCTCACTACTTGCCAACCTTTGTTGGAATTATCATTAGCATAAAATACTTGAGATGCTTGATTCGCTAAAACAAATGGCTCATTTGTTTTCAAAAATCTGTCGGGATTAACACTCACAAAACCATACTCATCCTTTTTAATTCCTTTTAATTCATCATACACATCAAACCAATCACATTTGAATAAAACCACTCTTCTATCCATGACAAATTGCAACTCAATTATATCTGTTAAAACTCCATAGTAATCAAGGTTCTCTCTATCTTCATCATTCTCACCCAATACAACAACACCACAATTTTGAGTCCTTAACTTTTTATCATGCTCTTCTACATGAAATCTATATCCATTAACAATGTAACCATTAGAACGCGTCGAATATTTTGTGGGACCGCATGAAAGTGAGAGTAGATCTTCCATGATACAACTATCATCTCCTTTATGCAATTGTGCGACCTATAAACAAAATTTTATTGAATATTTTAGAATGAGTATTATAATATTAGATATATCAATTTTTATATTTATGTATCACTCACTCTATCTTTAAACCATTCAATAAATTGTCGGCTCCATTCTGCATAAGACAACTGTCGAGCATTCTCATGAGTTTGTGCAAACTCTCTAAAAAATTGAATTGAACCATAAGTCCCCATATAGAAAAGAAATTACCTTAAAAGAAATAAAAATGAGATAATATGAAAGAACTTTCCATACTTAAGATATGGTAAGACTTCATCACAATTCTTCAGTATGTATACATGTGCTTGTTCTAATTCATCCTCTTTAAGATCACATGGCTCTTTAACTCCAAGAGTTCTTCCAAGTTGACTAAAGATGGATAAACCGCCATCTAATTGTTTTAAGCCACCACCATTATTTCGCTTGGGCCGACTGAATCTTGTGTCAACTTTATGCAGATACATTGAACATAGTATCATACATTCATGTGCAATGTATCCCTATGCAATACAACCTTCAGGATATGCTCTATTACCAATAAGAGATTTCAAAAAAATAACCATCGTTCCATAGGATACATCCACTGATAATGAGTCGGTCCAGTAATCTTAGCTTCATTAGCTAAATGAACAGGTAAATACTCCATCACATCAAAAAATGAAGGAGGTGAGACCTTTTCTAACTTACAAAAAGTTAATAGGTATTTGCGCTTCAATATGTTCCAAGTTATAAATTTTCAACTCCTTTGATCTAAGAAGACTAAAAAATATAGATAATTCAATAAATGGTTCACACACTTCTTTTGACAACATACCACGAAGTGCAAGAGGAAGTATATGTTGCAAGAGAACATGACAATCATGGCTTTTTAATCCAGATATCTTGTGATCTTTCAGGTTCACACATTGAGAAATATTAGATGAAAAACCATCAGGAACCTTTAGATTCTTTAAGAACAGGCACAATTTGTGCTTATCTTCTGAAGACAGTGTGTATCATGCTATTGGAACTTCAATTTTCTCCCCATTTTGGATGGGGTGCAATTCTGCCCTAATGTTCATCTCTTGCAAGTCTAATCGATTTTTTATTGTGTCCTTGGTCTTGCCTTTGACATTCATGATTGTCCCCATGATATTATCACATATATTTTTTTCAATATGCATAACATCCAAATTATGTCGCAGCAAGAGACACTTCCAATATGAAAGTTCAAAAAAGATACTTTTTTTGTTCTAGTTATCCTTTCGATTTTCACGTGATATATTCTTTCTTTTCTTAGGATCCTTCGATAATTGTAACCCTTCAAGATCTTGTACTTGATTAAGTATTCAATACCTGAACACATTTTTGGTGGGGGGCCTTTTCTCAATTGTACCATCAAATGAGTCCTTATCATTTCTCCATTTGTGGTTTTTAGAAATATAACATCAATGACCCATAAAACACTCCTTCTTACCATTCATCAATCGAATTGAGGAAGGGTCTTTATTGCAACATCGGCATGTCATTTTTCCTTTTGTACTCCATCCAGATAAATTTTCATATGCTGGAAATTCATTGATTGTCTGCAATAAAGAAGCATGCAATTTAAAATTTATTCTAGTAGATGCATCATAGGTCTCAATACCAACTTCCCACAACTCCTTCAATTTCTCTATTAAAGGCTGAAGATATGTATCAATTGCATCTCCTGGACCATTTGGACCTAGAATAAGCATAGACAAAATAAAGTTTTCTTGCTTCATACACAACCAAGGTGGTAAATTATAAGGAATAAGAACAACAGGTCAAATGCTATGTGAGGTTTTTGAATTCCAAAGCGGTTGAAATCCATCACTAGCAAGTCCAAGTCGAACATTACGAGGCTCAGCAGCAAATGAAGGATGAAGTTCATCAAATGATTTCCATGCCATTGAATCAGCTGGATGCCTCATTATTCCATCATCAACTCTTTTATCCTTGTGTCATGTCATTAGAGAAGATGTCTTTGTAGACATTGTTAAGTTGAACAATACAATTAATTAGTTGGATTTGTTAAAGTTTGTTAGTTAGTTTTAAAAGATAGCTTCTAATTAATTCTAGTTAGTTGGAAAGATGTATATAAATAGTAGAATACCTTGTGTAAACAGGCAAGTCGGTTAATACAGTTTTCTCACTGTTTCTTCAATTCTTTTTTTCATCTCACAATTATTCTCTCAATTGCCATAACAATGGCAAGGTAGCTATCACTCAACATGGTATCAGAGCCACCAATACTCTAGCTGCTAGAGAGAGTTTTTTTCTTTTTTACATCATTCAAATTGGACGAACAGTGGAATACCGACGTCGGAGATAATCGGAAACTATGGTGGATGCAATTAGGTCATCGGAGGTGCAAGATAACTCCAATCGAGAACAGATCGACAATTTCACTGATATTCATCCAAGGAATCTTTTATATCTTCATCCATCTGATACTCCAGGTAGCATTTTAATCCCTCAACAACTTACTGGTATAGAAAATTATACTGGGTGGAGTAATTTTATGAGAGTAGCATTGTTAGCTAAGAATAAAATTGTATTTATTGATGGTACTTGTTGTAAACATCACTACAAAGGAGATCTGAATCATGAATGGGAGAGATGTAATGCTTTTGTGTTATCGTGGATCACAAACTCCGTTTCAAAGGAATTAGCAAATGGCTTAATGTTTTCATCAAATGCCCATAATGTTTGGAAGGATCTGAAAGAGAGGTTTGATAAACGTAATCTCACTAGAATATACCAGGTTCATCGCGAAATCAGTACAATGAGTCAAGAAACTTTTACAATTTCTGAGTAATATTCAAATTGCGAAATCTTTGGGATGAGTATGTATCATTGGTTCCTTTACCTGCTCGTGAATGTGATAAGTACAAGGTATATGCAGAACATATGGAAAAACAAAAGCTGATGCAGTTTCTAATGGGACTCAATGATAATTTTGCCCAATCAAGGAGTCAGATTCCTATGACTGTTCCAAGTCCTAGTTTGAACCAAGCTTATAATTTGATAATGCAGGATGAGAGCCAAAAGGTGCAATCTAGTTTGATATCAAATTGTGTTCTAGCTGTACAGAAGCTTAATATCCTTGAGACTACTACTACTGCTACTGCTTTAGCCTCCTTACAGAACAATAAGTTCAAGCCAAAAGCTGGGGGATTGTATTGTGACTATTGCCATTTGAAAAACCATACGAAAGCTAACTGTTATAAGTTGATCGGCTATCCTCTAAACTACAAGTTTCAGAAGAAAAGAGGTGTGAATAATAGGAGCTTTAGGGGTCACAATTTTGAGAATGATAGAATTCTAGAATGCATAGAATGATAGAATGATAGAATGATAGAATGCATGAGACTAATGATGCTGAGCTAGATGACAGGAGAGTATATCAGAGGTTAATTGGGAGACTTTTGTATTTGGCCATGACAAGGCCTGACATTTCTTTTGTTGTTCAACACTTGAGCCAATTTATGCATGCTCCTAAGAAGTCACAGTATGATGCAGCATTACATGTTGTAAGATATATCAAAGGACAACCTGGTTTGGGATTACTGATGAGTAGTAAGAAAATAGGAAAGATTAATGCCTTTTGTGATGCTGATTGGGCATCTAGTTCATTGTCAAGAAGGTCAGTAACAGGATTTGGAATCAAATTTTGAGAATCTCTGATTTCATGGAGACCCAAAAAAATAAAGTACAGTCTCCAGAAGTTCAACAGAAGCTGAATACAGGAGTATGGAGACAACTGTAGCA